GGGGGCCGCATCCGCCGCCCAAGAAGTCGCTGGGCGGGGATGCCGCGGTGGGGGCCAAGGAGCGCGGTGGGGAGGGCCCCGCGCGGGAGCGGAAGGAGACGGAGCTGATGCCGCCGCCGCCGATGCTGGTGCGGCGGCCGGTGCCGGGGCGGACGGGGCCGAAGCGCGGGCTGGGGTTTGTGGGCGCGGCGGCGAAGAAGGTGGTGGAGGCGAATGGGCCGGGTGCGGCGGGGCAGGGGAAGAGCAATGCGGACTTTAAAAAGATGTTTCTGGGCTTGGGAGGAGGGGCCCCTGCTGCGGCGACCGTTCCTGCGGGCAAGGATGGGGAGGGCCAGGGCAAGGACGCGGCGGGTAATGGGAGCTAGGTACGGAGGGATCAGGGTCATTTGTGCATGTATGATACCACGGACGGTGTGCCGGGATTGCTGGCGCCGGCATGAATACCCCTGAGCATTGTTGCATTTATCTACGACGGCTGCTAATCAGACGGTGAAGTCGATTTGAAAGTCTGGTCTGTCCGTGTGGGGGGGGGGGTCCGGGTGGTGTGTTTTCTTTTTTCCCGGCCATGCTTTTCAGTCCTTCCGCGCCAACCACCCCCCTTTTTTTCATTCCCCCTTCCCCCCTTCCCCCCTTCCCACACACACACATCCCCCCCCCACCCCCTATTTCCTTAGACCCCACAACCATCCACCCGGCCCCCCCGCACCCGCCGCCGCCGCACCGCCGCCGTCCGCCCCTCGGGATCCGCCACAAGCTCCAGCATCACCGTCTGCAGCTCCTCGCCGACACTGTACTCGCCCGCTCCGCTGCCGCTGCCGCTGCCGCTGCCGCCCATCGCAAACAGCAGCTCGAACCCGGCGCCGCCCGACCCTGCGTCGTCGCCTCCGTCGGCGGCGGCCGCGGCGTTGGCGGGCAGGGCGATCGGGGTCGTGTGTGCTGTGGGCGCGTCGGTGGGGGGGGTGGGTGGTGGTGATGGTGGTGGTGGTGGGTTGGTGCTGGTGCTGGAGGTGGAGGTGGAGGTGGAGGTGGGGGGTTGGATGCACATGTTGGGCGTGGTTTTGTTCTTGTTCTTGTTGGAGTTGGAGTTGCGAGTTGGGAGTTGTGGGAGTGTTGGCGGGGGGATATTGTCCGTTGCATGCGAAAAAGAAGAGCGGGTGGCGGGGGGTGATGGCACGCGTTGATAATCCCATCAAGTAGCTGCCGCTTCGGCTGCGCTTTGACGGTCGGGTGGTCTGGCGGCGGACGGTGGCTCCGCCGTCTCATGGTCTCGCGGCGGCATCCCTGCTGTGTGGGCACATGCGGCCTCACTGCGCGCGCTGCCGGGGCGACGGCCTTCTCGGACAGGATTGGATTCACGGGAACATATAGGGCAAGTTGATATTGAATTCCAGCCTGGTCGTTGTAGCGTCGCCCTCTGAAACCGAGCTACTCCGCCATCAACTCACTTCTCATCATGCGAATCGCGATTCATCACGATAGCCTTGGCTCTACTACCGCCTCCAGCAACAGGTGCAGTCCCCTACCAACCGCTGGTGCATTTGCGTGGAGTTCCGTTGACCGCGTTGGACAATGTCATGGTTTTCTCAGTCCCGAGGCCCTGCACGGAAGGAACGCCGGCCAGCTGCTCCGTGATCAGGCGTATATAACCCGTCAGGGTCAAACATTCAGGGGCTGCGCTGGCGGTGGAGCAAGGGGTCGGTTTCCGGGGAAACTGGCAGTCGCAAGAATGCCGGTTGCGGACTCCACCGCAACAAGCTTCAAACCAGCGCTCCCAACAAGTCAATCAAGTCAAATCTGCCCTTGTATTTGTGTTGATTTACGTCAGAAAAATGGAAATTGACTTGATTTGTATTTGATTGTGGGGATTTGACCATTTGGCTAGGCCAGCCGGCCAAGGTTGTTCCGGCCCGGGTACGCCTCCCTAGCTTGCCCTTGACACCAGTATCGAGGGCATTCCTAACTACTGAACTGACCCGTATCGTTATTCCTTGTAGCTATGCCCTGGCACCTAGTTCTTTAAGCATTCTACTATATTGATCGTCTCTACCTATATAGTATAGCGTTAAGCGCTAACAGTTAGCTTTACCCGGCTAAAGATTCGCTTGTACTCTAACGACATTGCTAGGATCGAAAGTAGGTTAAATGCTATATTCGATAACCGTGGAAAGGCGTCCTTGCGCCTAGCCTACTAGACGAAGATATTATAGACCTTGTTAACTAGCTTAGTAAGGTATTGATCTACCTCCTAGTTGCAATTCGTGTTACTAGGCTTATCGTAGTACTAGTTGCCCGTAAGGAAGTTGTCTTCGTAGTAATGATCGTAGCCCTGCGTAGTATTAGCTAGCCCTGCCTTAGGAATATTAAGATAGCTGTAATGCTTATAAAGGAACTACTTAAAGCCCCGAATAATATAAGAACCCTGTTCTTCGTCAAGGTTCCTATTAATCTATTAACGTCTATAGCCTAGGTGCAAGATCATTGTAAACTAGTAAATAGGCGTAGCTAATAACAACGTATAATAGTTATCTACCTTGTCGATAGCGTACTAAATACTAGCGCGGATAAATCTAACGTCGATATCTTACGTTTCCTTATATAGCGTAGGCAGGTCTAGCTAAACTAGCGGCGCAGGCGGGTATGGCGGCGTAGGTAGCATCGGCGGGTATGGCGGCGTAGGTAGTATCGGCGGGTATGGCGGCGTAGGTAGCATCGGCGGGTATGGCGGCGTAGGTAGTATCGGCGGGTATAGCGGCGTAGGTAGCATCGGCGGGTATAGCGGCGTAGGCGGTTGCCTAGGTATCTCGACTTTGTAATCGTCAAGATATCTTAGAAGCCTGGCTTAGCGTTAAGGTCGTAATAGTAGTTTGGGCGTATAGAGCGAGACTTCGGGGCTATAGAAGACCTTAACCTCTAAGTTATTGTAATACTATATAAGTAAGCCTTTAAGGTTCTCTCTTAGCCGAAAAAGAGTAGCGATAGCCTTAGGGAAGCTAGCGTTATTGCCTTTAAACTTCTTAGTAGCGATTAAGAAAAGGACTAGTATTTCGCGTAGTTCCGCTAGGGTTTTCTAATCTTATAGATATAAGATATCTTTAGCCGTAATAGCGTTTAGCTTGTTACTAGTTAATTCGGAATAGTAGTAGTTAAGTGATTCTTATAGTTAACTTACGCGGTTAATTATCTAGAATATAGAATTCTATCGCGTATCGTTATTAGCTTTTAACTATAGAGAAACCGGATCTTCGTCCTAGATAATATAATCAAACTGTTCGATCTCTTTGTAAGCTGCCTTTCTAAATGTAGCGATAGCGATAAAACGTTCGTAGCGTTACAGACTATAGCGAATATAGTAGACGATATTATAAAGCTTACTAATTAGCCCTCTTTTCCGCTATAACTACAAAAGCTCAACCTTGTTTCGTTAGTTATAATAAGCTACCGATTAATCCTACATAAGAGACCGAAGAACGCGCTTTTCTTTGCCTTTAATAAAGGCTTTAGTAGCAAGGTTAATAATGTAGCTAATATAGCGAAGTTGTCTGTGTTTTTTCCGTAGGGCTTTCTACGCTATAGTTAGATCTAGGTAGTATATAGCGATTAAAGCTATAACGTAAGTATCGTTTAATTCGGCGTTATTACTCTAAAAATAGCCTAGGTAAGGCCTAATACTAAAGTTGTTAATAATAGTACTAATTAACTAGGCTAGATTCTCGCTACTATAACCGCCTTTAATTCGAATTAGCCTAAGTAATTTCGTCCGTAATACTAGGTCGTTACTAGTAAAATGAACAACTACTATAAGTAACGCCTACGAATTAGGCGAGGTCTAGAGGTTAAAGGATAGATGTTTACTAAATTTCGCTATAGAAAGTATCCTCTTTAATCTATTACGTTCCTAGCGATATTTTTCCTTAATCTACAACTTTATAGTACTACTTAACTTAGGTAGTAACTATATAGTAGTGTTAGTATCTAAAACACTAAGAAGTTAGCGAAAGTACGTATATTTAACCGCTAAGAATAGAATACTATAGCTAACTATTTAGTCGAGTAGGAGCGACTTGAATTTATCGGCACGCGACTACGATATTGCGACTAAGCTACTATAGTAGCTTTTGAACATATCGATCGCTAACTACGGCTTCTTTAGGTCTAGTAGAGGTTGTTTTCTAGCCTTATACTTACAGTAAGACTGATTAAGGTAGGTATATAGCGAGCTTGTTACCTACGCGTTAAATAACTAGCTATAGTAGTTATAACACTAAAGACAACCTACTTCTTAGCTATATATAACTTCTATAAGATATTCCCTATAGTCTAAGATCTATAAAGTACGCCCTCTTTTTCTATATATCTATATTTCTAAAACGTACTCCTTACCCTATATTCTAATCTTTAGCTACATTGCGAAATCTCTAGTCGGTAGGGCCTTGAAATCGATATCGCCAAGATCGCAAAGTTATTCCTTAATAGTTCGTAGCCTAGAACAGGGTCCGATAGTTAGCGGTATTACATATAGCGGTGTTATAGTATTGCGAGTAGGCGGTGTTACATCCGGCGCTTAGTAAAGAAAAATAGGTAGTTACCTCTAGGAGAAACACATTAGTACGGTTCTATACTAAGGCACGCGGACGCTATATATTGTAGTATCTACTAGCTAGCGGCAGGCTAGTGGCTAGGCTAGGCCGCCTGGTCCGACCGCTAAGCTATAGAGGGGACGCTAGGTCGCGAGATATCGCCACCCGGGCTATACTTCCATACTTGGGGCCTAAGATGTGGGCATGCGCTACCCTAAGTTGTGGCTTAACCACAGGTTCTGGCCCTGGTGTGGCTCAGTCAAGCCAAGCCAAATAACAGCCATTGTGGTTTGGCTTGCAAGACCTTCGAATTGACTTGCTTGCGGGCATGTCGAATTGGCTTGATTTGACACTATTTGACTTGTTGGGAGCGCTGCTTCAAACCCACAATCTTCGACGCTGACACACAATCAGGACAGATTCGGCTCAATGGTCTAGTGGTATGATTCGTGCTTCGGGATAAGGACAGGTTCCTCCCGTGCTTGGAAACAAGTATCGAGAATGTGCGAGGTCTCGGGTTCGATCCCCGATTGAGCCCTTCTGCTGCCTGTGTCTTTTTGCGTGTCTTGTTCATTCAAGTCCGCCAGTCAATCACGCCCAGGGACACATTGTCATCCATGTCATGCGGTTCGCAGGATTCGAGAACTCGGGCCCAGAAGCAACATCGTCCATGCACGGGCACTGGGAAATGGCAGGTACATACAGATGGTTGTGACGGAAAGAAGGACCTGATCACTATCGGGTATTGAAGGCTTTCGTAGGAGCCACAGCGGGTGGGATCCATCATCATCCTTACAACCACTTCATACGGACGGATACCTCGATTGGAATTGACACTCTTGGCCCAGCCATGGCCACACCTCTCCTTTATCGTCATTCAATTGACCGATACCCTCGCGGCCTCGTATTACCCATGTTTGACATGCTTTAGAGATGCAAAGAAACACGGGCCCCCGATGTCCGGGATGTGCTGTCACAGACCGCCCGCCCCAAGGGCATCCATCCCTGCCTGCCTCTTCCCGGCCACAACCTTAAACCGGCCGTGTATGTACAGGTCCCCGCCTGGCCCAGGTCGATCTCGGGCGCCGGGCGAAGCCTTCGGTATCGGCGATCGTTGCAGGGTGGGCCGTGTCCGCGCAGCTTCCCGCAGCGTCGCCGGTGAAATCATGGCACCCCCAAGAGCTTCCATCGCCACACGACCCCTGGTGTCCCCACCGCCAGTCCCAGGGAAGAGGCGACCAGAGGAGAAGGTCAGAGCGCGGCGCCAGTGAAGGCGAGAGAGAGACATCGCGCATTCTTTGGTCCCGCCGCTGGCAGTCGGTCGGTCGTCGGGTAGACACGACGCCCACAAACCACACCCTCCAATGCCTGGTCCCTTCATCAAGCCTTGGTTCCGATACAGCAAGCCCAACGAAGACGAAGTAGCCATTGCGTCCATCGCGTGGGGCGCGACTCTGGCATGCTCCGTCATGAGCGCCGCGCAGGCAGTCCGGCAGACCCGCCGGTCATGGAGGCGGCTGCAGAAGGCCAACGGCTACATCGTGCTGGTGTGGCTGGAGTGGATGGCCAACGTGGTCATGGGCATCATCACCTTTTGTCTGCTCCGGGGAATCTACGATCTCAGGTACGTGTCGCCCGTTTCTCTTCCCCCACGCCCGCCGGCCAGTCCGTTTGCCATCAGCCTGGGCACGCCGCTCACAGCAGGTTATAGTTTCGAATTCCTGTTCACCATACGTAAGTGGTCCCCCGCCCTACACGCCCCCGCCCCCGTGTCGCCGAAGCCGCCGTTAACACCACACCGCGATATCAGTCAGCCTCTGGTGCTTCCAGGTATGAACCCCCCCTCCTCCTCCTCCCTCCTTTCCGTGATGCATCCTATCCGGCAGACATGGTACGGGCCCGCTGATGCGAATACCGTGCCGCCCAGGTACACTGCCTCTTCCAAATCATCATCAACCGGATCGGATTCCTGGTCGAGCCCGGCCGTCGCATGCGGCTGCTGCGGTGGGGCGTCTTTGGATTCCTCTGCGCCTTGAACATCAGCGTCTTTACCATCTGGATCCCCGCCCAGCTCCAGATCAACTCGACGTACATGGCCATCAACGAAGTCTGGGACCGGGTCGAAAAGGCCCTCATCTGCGTCGTGGACCTTGGACTGAACCTGACCTTTGCCTGCCTCGTCCGCTCGCAGCTGATCAACTTTGGACTGAACAAGTACAAGAAGCTCTACTACTTCAACTTGTGCATGATGTCCTTGTCTGTGTCGACTGATGTGCGTGCTGGTACTCCTTGGCTGCTGGGATGGACATGATCGAACGTCGTCGCTGACACCCGCGGCAGGTGCTCCTGATCGGGATGATGTCCCATCCAAGTCCCGTGTTGTAAGTGGCCCGCCCGATGGCATCCTGGTGGTCGCACAGTGACCTCGCGACGCAGTTCTGACCACCGCGACAGATACCTGCAGTTCCACGGACTCATCTATATCATCAAACTTCAGATCGAGATGACCACGGCGGATTTGCTGGCGAAACTGGTCACCGCACCAACGAATACCCCCCCGGCAACAAGTGACGCGCTTGGGTCGCCGCCCGAGGTGGATGGGGTGGGGGTTGGCGCACTGGCCGGGCCGCTGCAAGAGGCCCGACTAGCCAGAGCCATCTCTCGCCCCCGTGCGCGTCCCGACGCCGTCCCCACACCAGCCTCCGGGGACCGCGACTCGGAGCTCGGGGTCGACCTGGTCGAGCTGTGCCGCTTCACCTCCAGCGGCAACACCACCCATTATTCGCAGGGAACGCAGGCGCAGGCGCAGGCGCACGACACGGCATTGTCGGTCCCGAACGGCGGTGTTTCGGGGAGAGATGGTTCAGTCCGGGAACCCTGTACAAACCACAACTCAAACAAGTCTTTGGTCTGACGCTCCCCGCAAGTGGCCCATTTTATGCGCCGATTTCCGCAACTGCGTGCGTGCCAATGATGGTGACATTGTCCTTTCTCCCCCCTTTTTTCCCCCCCCACCTAGGTCCGCTGTCGCCACCGGACCGACCGACTGCCTCGCACGCTTGGCACCAGGCAGCAGGCTGGCGCCGCGATGCCCATCCCTTACCGCCCGCGCGGCAATCCACCCGGCATTCCCAGTCAGTCAGTGGGCGCCGTGGTGGCTGTCCAGCTTGGTTGTGTTCTCGTCCATCAGCCGCTTGGCGAGCGCCACGATGGGGTTGTCGCTGCCGGGCGTCTTCACGACGGTCTCGACCACGACCTGCTCGTCGGGCGCCTTGTCGGCAAACAAGTCCTTGACGCGGCCGGGCCCCGTGGCGGTGCGCACGACGGCGAGCGTGGTGGCAAACTCGGCGCGTCCCGCAGCAGCGGGCCCGCCGGCCTGGATGGCGTCGAGCATCTCGAGGGCGTAGTTCTGGCAGTTGTTGCTGATCAGGTTGTAGGCGGGGCGGCGGGCGCGCATGGCGCGGATGACGGCCTCGCCGGCGCGGCGCAGGGCCTCGTCGTTGAAGCGCGTCTCGCCGACGGGGAACCGGCGCCACGTCTCGTCGCCGACGCGGCCGTTGACGTAGATGACGTCGAGCTGCTCGTCCATCCACAGCTCGTGGCAGTAGTCGCCCACCAGCACCGCCCAGTGCTGCGACGGGTCCGGGTACCGGTGCACGCTCTCGGTGATCCACGCGCCGATCTTGGTCTGCTCCGCGAACCACTTGCCCGCCGACCCGCCCACCGGATGCCACCCGATCTCCACCAGCCGCGGCGGGCCGTTGGTGTCGGGCTCGCCCGCCGGGATCGCGCTCGGCTTGTGGCCCAGCCCGAGGGACTGCTCGAGCAGGACGCGGCCCTTGGCGAGCTCGTCTTTTCCGCGCGAGAGGCCCTCCTTGCTGGGGACGCGTTAGGGCCGAGCTCGGGCTTCTTGGGGGGGGGAAAGAGGGGGGGAAAGAGGGGGACAATTACAAGAACGACTTCATCCTCTTGCGCTTGGAGGGCGCGCTCTTGGCGGAGCCTGTTTCGGAGTCGCTCATGGTCGGTATGGCTGGAAATGCGTGCTGGTGAGTTGCGGGGGGGGGGGGGGGGGGAATGATCACGAGAGAGCGGAAACGGTTGTGGTCGGCGGCGGCAGTGGGGCTGCTTGGCTGCCTCAGCTGAAAGGCATTCGCAAACCACGCAGTCTTGGCAGTGGTTTCCGAGGTAACTCCGAAGTCCGAAGTCGAATTGCTGTCTTGGCGGGGGACCGCGGCCGAGGCGGCAGCGGGTCATCAAAAATGAGACGAGAGAGTGTTCAACACGCCCATGGTTCCTGAATCCCGGGCGTCCGACTCGACAATATTGTCGAGACCTAATTCTAGTGTTGATGCAGTCGTCTGTCGAATCGGCCCTTATATTTTCAACACCTGCCCGGTTGATTTTGACCCGACTATCACCACACAGGCGGCGGCATCGGATGGCAGGAAGGGATGGGCCAGGACCAAGACCGGGAGGCCACCGTGTTGACAAGGGCCACACCGGGACTCTCTCCTGGACAGTCGAACGGGCTTTCGGACGTGGATGATGCCAGCATGGTCGGGGACTGCAGGTGGTTTCATGAGGGTCAAGTCCGATTTCACCGAGGAGGAGCGCGCCTGGACCTGGAAGAATACACGTTGCACGCTGGCAAGAGGCATTGCACAAGTGGACAGGCAACTTGGGACGTTGCGCGCAGTGGTGGAGTGTGATGACGACGGGGGTGGCAGCGGCCGTTGCCATGCCAACAAAGCCAGGCCAGGCTGCTTGACATGGCCAGGAGCGGACGGAAGTGCGTCTGCAGGGGTCGGCCCAGCGCCACGTCGATCAATGAAGGCTGAAGCCGCGGGTGGTATCCGTATTGGCCAGGTATCCGCTGTATTTCCTCTGGCGCCAGCCTCAAAGGTGCTGCCTCAGCAAGGAACGACGTCGTCGCAAGAACGGTAAACCGGACGGCTGAAGCCAGCACAACCCCCAGCTGCCAGGTGTGCCGGACAGCGACTCGCATCTGGTGTGGGTTGCATGCGTCTGCGGGCCGCGCCAACTGCCTGTTACAGCGCAGCGAGGCATGCGCGCACACCAGACTATCGTTCTGACCGCGAGTAGGAAGGCTTCCGTCCCGCGTCGCATTTTCCTCTCCCCGTCCGAGACGCAGAAGAAGTCCCCTACAAATGGACTAGGCTCGGAATGTCTACTACGTACCTTGGGAAGTGCCGGGGTATTCGTGCCATCCTGACAGGCGCCAAGGCAGCAAGGGGCGCCACCATAGGCCTGACGTGTAAGCGCTGTGCTACGGACTCTGCATTGCAGTGACGGGATGATATGGTGACTGCGACTGCAGAGAGCATGTCGGGGGCTGCAAATGGCGAACACGACCACCGCCACCCGGCGAGGTGCAGGGGTGGTGGGATGGAGAGCAGGCCGGCGTGCTCGGGATACGGCGGGGTATAAAGTCGGCGGCGTGCACGCTCTTCGCACTCGCAGCGCACGATGGGGACAGCCGAGCAACCACGTTAGCTACCTACCCGACATGAGACTGCT